TACAAGAGGGATAAGAGGGCCCTGCTCCTTGGAGCTTACAATCTAGGAGGGAGGGGCTAGTGGTACAAAAGGTAGTAACTGTGGGGGATGGAGTGGTTGGAAGAGTAGAAGATTCCTGTATTAGCTGAGGGCAGGATAGGCTTCCCTGAAGAGAGAGGTTTTCAGAAATCGCCTAAAAGTGAGCAGAGTAGGCAATAGTCTGATAAATTGGGGTAGAGAGTTACAGAGGATGCGGGAAGCTCTGGAGATGAGCATGGGAGAAGGAGACAAGGGAGCTAGAGAGTAGGAGGTCTTGCGAGGAGCGGAGAGTACAGTTTGGGTGATATTTAGAAACAAAATCGATGATGTAATTTGGGGCAGAGTTATAAATGGCTTTATACGTTATTGTTAGTGTTTTGAATTTTATCCAGGCAACGGGAAGCCAGTGGAGGGATTGGCAGAGAGGGGTGGCAGATACGGAACGGTTAGTAAGGTGGATGAGTCTGGCAGCAGCATTCATGATAGACTGAAGAGGGGATAGCTTGCGATTCGGTAGGCCAATGAGGAGGGAGTTACAATAGTCAAGGCGAGAGATAACCAGGGAGTGAATAAGTTGCTTAGTAGTTTCCGAGGTTAGGAACAGGCGTATCTTGGAGATGTTGTGGAGGTGAAGTCTCCAAGATTTGGACAGCGATTGGATTTGGGGCGGAAAGGACAGATGGGAGTCTAGGATTATACCTAGTACCCTGGCATGAGGGGAGGGAATGATGATTGTGTTATTGATTTTGATGGAGAAGTCAGGGGAGGGGGCACGGGCTGGAGGGAATACTAAGAGTTCAGTTTTGGAAAGATTGAGTTTGAGGAAGTGGAGTGACATCCACTTAATTTACAAATGTGTGTGTCTGTATGTTGTGTTCCTGTGGGTGCTAGAACAACTCCAAACATGATGGTTGGAAAAATGGTAAAAATGTAAAATCATGTATTCATTTTCATAATGGTTATTATTTAATCCACTAACACCAATGTTGGGGGTTATTATTGTATTCACTAAAATCAGTGTTGGGGATTGTTATTGGACTCACTGATATAAATGCCTGGGGTTATTATTTTTTTTACATTTCTTCAGTTACTACTTGGTTTCTGGCCTAGGCAAATGATGTCATATATCCCAGGAGTCTTCAGAAGGGGAGGAGGGCTTTTCTCAGTTAAGCACACCCTCCTACCTGCATGCCTGGGCTAAGGACAGATTGATTCCAGGAAGTAAATGCTACATGAATCATCTACCCTTACTCAAGGTAAACAGCTAGAAATGATAGGGGATGTTTTTCAAAGTGATTTCCCAGCAAACTGAAGCATGGAGACATGGATGGGGAAGTTTGCGTTGAATATTATTAATTAATTAAATTAGTGTTTTCGATTTGTGGGGCTCAGATGCAGTGTAGTTCCACTCTAATTGTCCTCTTTTCCCTTCTGGGTTGGAAAGTCCTCAAAGTAATCAATGGTGGCACATAGTAGCTTTACTATAATCCTCTCCTTCTTGAACCCATGGGAATGGGATCTTTTTGTATTTCTCTTTACTAGGCAATTGTAACACCCAAGCCCCAACATACTGTTTGAGATGGGAACTTGATTTTTATTCTTCGTTCCTCTTGATTACTGAAATAAAATTTGGGATACTTTGTTTAAATCCTAGCATAATGTGCTAGCCCTGGACAGGGGCGGACTGACCATTTGGAAACTCGGGCACTGCCCGAGGGCCCGGGGTCAGTAGGGGGCCCCATGAGATGCCCCTGGTACCTTTTTCATAGGCTTTTTTGAGTTTGGGCAAGGACACGGGCCCCATGATCCCCTATTGCCCGGGGGCCCCATGAGTTGTCAGTCCGCCCCTGGCCCTGAATAATTTTTTCTAAGTTATGTCACAGTGGTGTTACAGCTCTGTTAGAATTGCCAATTGCCTCCCCTCTTACTCCCCTTCCTGCTTTAGAGGATGCTCGGACTGGGGGATCTGAAGCATATTTGGTAGGCATGTCCAAGAGTAAAACACCTATGGATTCAGGTGTATAGCATGGCCAATACTGTTCTCCACATCACTCTGCGTAAAGATCCTTGGAAAGCCCCAGCACAAACTGATAGAAAATATTACCCGTCAGGAACATGTGCTTATCATCTTGCCACATTCATAGTCACTTAAATCCCCTTTCTTCCCCATTCTGATGCTTGGTTTGAACTTCAGCAAGTTGTCTTCACCACGTCCAGATGCCTAAATGCATTGAGTTGCTGCCATGTGATTGGCTGATTCTTAATTTGTGTTACTAAGCAATTGAACAGCGGTACCTAATAGTGGCCGGTGAGTGTATACTGTCTATTGATTCTGTGCCCTCTAGTTTTGATAAATTACTGTCAGGGCAGGGCTGTGGAACGGGCAGGTAGGCCTAGTGGCAGGGTAACGCACTGGCTGACGACAACCACCACCAACAGACCGAAGTCCCTCAGGGCGCGGAGTCTAAGTCCCAGGCTGCCCTTCACCAGGGCCCCTGATGGTGGGGTGGACTTGACGCAGCCAGGAACCAGTCACGGCCCCCGAGACACCCCGGCTGCGGTAATGGCCGCCGCCAATGGCGTGTAGCTGGTGAGAATGACAATAGCGTAGTCAGGCAAGCTGGGTCGACAACAACGGGACAAAACGGTACAGAACAGTAGACAGAGAATAACAGGTCACGGGCCGGGTTCAGCAACGGAAGGTCAGATCGAAGGAAAACACAGAGAATGGTCTAGTCACAAGCCGAGTCAAATACCAGAAGAGTCACGAGCATATACACAGAGCTGTAGCAAGACCAAGACACAAGACACAAGTGCAAAGAGCATGTGCGGATCACAGGCTTATATGTACTCAGCCACACCCCTCTGGGGGATGGACCTCAGAGACCTGAAGGCATAAAAGATTCCCACCATGCTCAGCAGAAAACCAAGATGGATGCCAGCACATGGAGTAACATAACCTCTGGGAAAAGGTAGGACCTTGACAATTACCCCCTCATTGTTTTCAAAACCAAGATTCCCTTTTTCTTTCATGTAACCACTACATGGCAAGCACTATTCTAGATTTATGACTAACGGGTGTGCATTTCTAATGATTTCTATTCTGGCCTTGTTCCCAGAAGTAAAAATGGCATGCTACAGTTGCTGAGCATGCAATGCTTGTATTTTATTGTTGACATGGACATTGAAGAGTTGAATAATTGCTTGATTGTTATATGTCTCTGGTTTCAACTGAGTAGTCTGTGTTTCCTCCTACAGTCATTTGCTTTTTTTACGGAATTTGGAGCAAACGTTTCACCATTTTTGTTTTACAAAGAACTAGGAACTTTACTGGAGAAATTTCACCACTACAAAAAAGATAACTAAAGTCAACTATTTGAATTTGCTAGCAAGCACCCACAAATTCAATATCAGGTCTTGAAAGAGTTGAATTTTAAAGCTGATGTTTAGGTATGGAAAATTTTACAGAATGTTACATTGGTTCAGTTATGTGCCTTCCCTTTGGGAACCCTCTAGCACAGGGGTGGGCAAACTTTTTGACTTGAGGGCCGCAATGGGTTCATATATTGGACCCGGGGGCCGGACTATCTGCTGGCCGGCCCAGCCACTACCATGCCATCCATAGTAAGTATAGTAATATTCCCCCATAGTAAGCATAGTAAATAATCCCCCATATAGTAATTCATCCCCCATAGTAATTCATCCCCCATAGTAATTCATCCCCCATAGTAATTCATCCCCCATATAGTAATTCATCCCCCCTATAGTAATTAATCCCCCCTATAGTAATTCACCCCCCATAGTAATTCATCCCCCATAGTAATTCATCCCCCATATAGTAATTCATCCCCCATAGTAATTCATCCCCCATATAGTAATTCATCCCCCATAGTAATTCATCCCCCATATAGTAATTCATCCCCCATATAGTAATTCATCCCCCCTATAGTAATTCATCCCCCATATAGTAATTCATCCCCCATAGTAATTCATCCCCCATATAGTAATTCATCCCCCATATAGTAATTCATCCCCCTATAGTAATTCATCCCCCCTATAGTAATTCATTCCCCATATTGTGTCAATTCACTTACCTTTGCTCCGCGCGTTCCTCTTGCCGTGTTCCCGCGCCGTTCCGGTCTTCAGGGCGGACTGTGAGAGGAGTTCGTCACGCTGCCCCGCCTACATCCTGACAGCCAATGTTTGCCACGCTCCGCGGGCCGGATTAAAAGGTCCGCCGGGCCGTAGTTTGCCCATTGCTGCTCTAGAAGCTGGAAATCGCTGTAGTAGGCACCACTACTACAGTGATCACCACTAGCTTTCAAGTCCTGTGCTAATCAGGGGCGTATTTGCCACAAGACAAACAAGGCGTTTGCCTAGGGGGGTGGCATGGTGCTGCTGCCCCCCCTTTCGAACGGAAGGGACATTTAGTACAGGGGTGGGCAGGGGGCTGCTATGTCTTACCTGGCTCCGGTCCCAGTCCCGCCATGATCCAGTCCAGGAAGCGCTGCTGGAGGAGGGGTATAGAGATCCACAGGTCCGGTGCCTGGACGCGATGTGTGGGCGGGATGACACCCTCTGCAAGCTCTGCCTCCTCACCGGTGATTGGCCGCCAGAACTGTAGCTCAGGAAAGGCACACAGGCGGCCAATCACCTGCAAGGAGGCAGAGCCGAGCTGCAGCGCGAACGTCGAGTGAGGGAGCAGCCGGAGTGAATGAAGGAGGACAGCTGACTGCCCTTTAAGTGTGCCGTGCAGATGGTGCTGCTGCAACCAGGTATGCTGGCTGCAGCAGCACCTAGGCTGGAGCAGGGGTCAGCAAGTTAAGTGTCATTGGTGTCAGTGGGAGGAATAGTGCCCCATCATTGGTGTCACTAATACTAATGATGGGGCATTATTCCTCTCACTGACACCAACGATGGGGCACTATTCCTCCCCCCACTGACACCAATGATGAGGCACAATACTCCCCCCACTGACACCAACGATGGGGCACTATTCCTCCACCACTGACACCAACGATGGGGCACTATTCCTCCACCCACTGACACCAACGATGGGGCACTATTCCTCCACCCACTGACACCAATGATGGGGCACTATTCCCCCCCCACAGACACCAATGATGGAACACTATTCCTTCCCCCACTGACACCAATGATGGGATACTATTCCTCCCACTGACACCAATGTTGGGACACTATCCCCCCCCCCCACTGATACCAATGACGGGGCACTATTCCCCCCCCCACTGACATCAATGATGGGGTACTATTCCTCCCCCCACTGACACCAAGGACGGGGCATTATTCCTGACACCAATGATGGGGCACTATTCCTCCCCCAACTGACACCAATGACGGGGAGGAATAGTTCCCCACCGTTGGTGTCAGTGGGAGGAATAATGCCCCACCATTGTTGTCAGTGGGAAGAATAGTGCCCCATCATTGGTGTCAGTGGGAGGAATAATGCCCCACTGTTGGTGTCAGTGGGAGGAATAGTGCCCCACCGTTGTTGTCAGTGGGAGGAATAGTGCCCCACCGTTGTTGTCAGTGGGAGGAATAATGCCCCACCGTTGGTGTCAGTGGGAGGAATAATGCCCCACCGTTTGTGTCAGTTGGAGGAATAGTGTCCCACCGTTGGTGTCAGTGGGAGGAATAGTGTCCCACCGTTATTGTCAGTGGGAGGAATAGTGTCCCACCGTTGGTGTCAGTGGGAGGAATAATGCCCCATCGTTGGTGTCAGTGGGAGGAATAGTGCCCCACTGTTGTTGTCGGTGGGAGGAATAGTGCCCCATCATTGGTATCGGTGGGAGGAATAGTGCCCCATCATTGGTGTCGGTGGGAGGAATAGTGCCCCATCATTGGTGTCGGTGGGAGGAATAGTGCCCCGTCATTGGTGTCGGTGGAAGGAATAGTGCCTCGTCATTGGTGTCAGTGGGAGGAATAGTGCCCCATCATTGGTGTCAGTGTGGGAGGAATAGTGCCCCATCACTGCGCCATCATTGGTGTCGGTGGGAGGAATAATGCCCCATCACTGGTGTTGGTGGGAGGAATAGTGCCCCATCATTGGTGTCGGTGGGAGGAATAGTGCCCCATCATTGGTGTCGGTGGGAGGAATAGTGCCCCATCTTTAGTGTCGGTGGGAGGAATAGTGCCCCATCATTGGTGTCGGTGGGAGGAATAGTGCCCCATCTTTAGTGTCGGTGGGAGGAATAGTGCCCCATCATTGGTGTCGGTGGGAGGAATCGTGCCCCATCATTGGTGTCGGTGGGAGGAATCATGCCCCATCATTGGTGTCGGTGGGAGGAATCGTGCCCCATCATTGGTGTCGGTGGGAGGAATAGGAATAGGAATGCCCCGTCATCATTGGTGTCGGTGGGAGGAATAGTGCCTCGTCATTGGTGTCGGTGGGAGGAATAGTGCCCCATCAGTGCCCATCATTGGTGTCGGTGGGGAGGAATAATGCCCCCCCATCAGTGCCCCATCATTGTGTGTCGGTGGGAGGAATCGTGCCCCATCATTGGTGTCGGTGGGAGGAATCGTGCCCCATCATTGGTGTCGGTGGGAGGAATCGTGCCCCATCATTGGTGTCGGTGGGAGGAGGCCCCAATAGTGGGAGGAATAGTGCCCCATCATTGGTATCAGTGGGAGGAATAGTGCCCCCATCATTCGTATCGTGTGGGAGGAATAGTGCCCCATCATTGGTAATGGGAGGAATAGTGCCCCATCAGTATGGGTGGAATAGTGCCCCGTAATTTGTATCATTGAACGTGCAAGATTGAACTGCAAGTCCCAGCAGCCTTAGCGGCTGTTGGCTTGTAGTGTTCAATGAACTACCATGGTGCTGTGGAGTGCCGTGGTAGTTCATTAAATCTTCCTGTCAATATATCTGCGTGGTCATACATCCCGTACGGGCCAGCCAAGCAGATATTCTGACAGATCTACAGGAGACCTGCATGGCACCAGAGATCTGCTGATCGCTGGTGCAATGCTTTCCAGGCTCTTTCAAACAAAAATAATAAATGCACATTTTTTAACCTGCCAAAAAAATTGCAGTTTTTTTTTGTCTAAGAGGTAAATGTATCCTTTAAACACATATTTGTATTTTTTCTGCAATTATTCATTTGTGCATACACTGTATGTAATGTTATCTATTTATAGCAGCGCAGCATTATATTATTTTATTCTATTATTTGTGTCATTTGGAGGAATAATGCCACCAATGTCATTGGTGTCAGTGGAAGAATAGTGCCCCGTCATTGATGTCAGTGGAAGAATAGTACCCCATCATTGGTGTCAGTGGGAGAAATAGTGCCTCGTCATTGGTCTCAGTGGAAGAATAGTGCCCCATCATTGGTGTCAGTGGGAGGAATAGTGACCCATCACTGGTGTCAGTGGGAGGAATAGTGCCCCATCATTGGTGTCAGTGTGGGAGGAATAGTGCCCCATCACTGGTGTCATGTGGAAGAAATAGTACCCCATCATTGGTGTCAGTGGGAGGAATAGTGCCCCATCATTGATGTCAGCGGGAGGAATAGCGCCCCATCGTTAGTGGGTGCAGCTCTAATAGGAAGAGGTGGAGCCTAAATGGGAAGGGGTGGGGTTTACAGATGAAGAAGTGGATCTTAAACAGGAAGGGGTGGGACACATTTAGATGCGGGGGGGTGCTCGATTTTAGTCTTGCCTAGGGCAGCACAAAACCAAAATACACCACTGGTGCTAATGGCTACCCTACTGCTTACTGAACACAGGAGGTCACTTTCACCATTCAGGGAACATTCTGCATGTTTTCAATGAATATCGAACATCCTCGGATGAGGTGGAGTGGCAGGGCAGTGAAATCACAATCTCCACCCTCTCCAATTAGAGAAGATTGCACATTTATTGAGAAAATGCAAAGTGTTCCCTGAATGGCAACCTCACTGAGTGGGTGATTTACTGTGTTAAGAAAGCAGCTGCTCACAGCAGGACCCAGAAGATAACAGACATTTCCAGCTTCCATGGGGATCCCAAAGGTATTGCACATTAGTCCAGCTTGTGAAAATTTCCATACCTACACATCAGCTTTAAAGAAGAATTCTGGTGAAAAAATATATTTTCTGTATTTTTTAATAGCAGTACTGTTAAGATTTCTAAAAATCAGTTTCAGTTGCTGACTGCTGTCAATAATGCCAACTGGTGAGCAGTGATGAACATTCAACTGCTGCAGACTCACCCTGATTTTCTGTGAATCCTAGTTTACAAAAAATGAATTTCCTTGATAAACCAAGGCAAAGTTATCTTGCCTATGGAGTAGTAAGTTAAAAATAACAGGCAGTTCAGCACAGCAAAATCCAAAACTGATATCACTTTTGGTAGGTGTTGCCTTTAAGAATGATGGAGGCAATGTGTTTTAAACACATCACTTGGTCACATTACTCAGCTAACCACATTGACATATGAATAACTGGATAATTTGACCTTTCTATATGTATATGGTCAACCATGTAAATTCAATATGATCAGTGGAATTGCCAGGACCTGGCACCTAAGTCATTAGTCCCAAGTCCCTAACCAAATGCCCTCGGTTTTTGGCATGCAGCTACTATTCTCCTAGAGGGGAAAAGAGTACTATTTGCTGTAGCTCTACACTCAAGAGCGCCGCCAGTATGTTGCCCAGGTTTCCCCTTGGTTTGCTCTGCAGCAAGACACACACGCACACACACACACTCTCTCTCTCTCTGGCTCTTTGTCTCCAATGACCAGTCTAGGGGATGTTCTGTTCCTGGAGTTTTATTGTAGAACTGGGGATAGGGTTTAGGAATTGTAGTAGGATACTCCAAAATTAGAACTATTCACATTGAGGACATCTGAACTTATCCCTCAGTTGAGCAATGTAAAAAGTCTGGCTTAGAGCAGATAGCAGACTTCCTTGTAACATATAGCAGCAAGTAGATTCAGGAGTGAGCCAAGCCCCTTTAGCTGTAGTAGTAGAAGTAACAGGGTTGAGCTCCTCTGATACAGGCCCGTTATGGCAGACTGCAACAGTCTAGAAGTAATAGCACTGTGCAAAGTCCTTTGCAGTAGCACACATTGTACAAGCTCTTTAGAACACTAGCCAGTGTTCCCTTTTTTAGAACCACGCTAACTATCAAGCACCAGATGAGTAACAAAGCACATAGAGTCCCCAAGGTCTCTCAGCGTCTGTACACACAAGTCCAAGAAATGAATGGTTGCCTCCTTCCAATCTTCCAAGCAACTCTCTCTAGTGGTACCAGACAGATCTTTGGCAGACAGCTCCCCTCAGTCAGCTTACTGTGGAACCAAGGTCACGCTCTCTAACTTCAGTCCCTCAGGTCGACCCACGTGAGGCCACATAGCAGCAAGTGCCAGGCGAGGCAGCCTGGCTTGGTGCAATGCACTCCTGGAAAAGACCCAGAGCCTATGTGCTCCCAGAACATAAATACCACTCCCAGAATGCAATGGGGTCACCATCCCCAGGACTGTTTCCATAATCATGCTGTTAATTTTTCTAGTGCCTACCCATGTTCTGGAAGGCTCTCATAGCTTCCTGAAGGCGGTCAGATCTTAAACAAACCAAACAACACCAGAGCATCATGAGCAGATCTGACTAATCAATCACAGCACTCTGTTAAGCAGAATACCACACTGAATTTACCTGACAGCCCCTCTGGTAAGCAGATAAACACAGCTATGCTTAACCTGACTATACAAATCCTATCTCCTGACTAGAATGGTGCTACACTTGCTACTACTTGAACAGATAGGGAAACCGAAAAGGACATTGCTGTTGTTTTCTGTAGCACTCCACAGCCTTCACTCTACTCAATGGCCTCAGCAAAGGTATAAAATAGCACCAACACTTCAAACAGAATTATATATATATATATATATATATATATATATATATATATATATATATAGTAGCTTGTGTGTAATTTCACAAAAATTAAAACTGCAACTCTTTTTATGGAAAGGTATTATTATTATTATTATACAGGATTTATATAGCGCCAACAGTTTGCTCAGCGCTTTACAATATAAAGGGAGACAATACAGCAACAATACAGTTCAATACAAGAAGGATAGGAGGGCCCTGCTCCTTGGAGCTTACAATCTAGGAGGGAGGGGCTAGTGGTACAAAAGGTAGTACCTGTGGGGGATAAACTGGTTGGAAGAGTAGAAGTTTCCATTATTAGCTGAGGGTAGGATAGGCTTCCCTGAAGAGATAGGTTTTCAGAGATCACCTAAAAGTGAGCAGAGTAGGCAATAGTCTGATAAATTTGGGTAGAGAGTTCCAGAAGATGGGGGAAGCTCTGGAGAAGTCCTG